CAAGCTTGAGAAAATGGTGGCTATGGTGGTGGGGGTGTGGCTGCCGAAATGAAGAAGGAAGGAAGAAGAAGAAGACCTTTGGTCTTACTTAAAGGAGTGAAAAGCATGCCTAGTCTATAGAGTAGGGAACTAGGCTTGAGTATTTCTTCCTATGCTCAAAGTACAACCACACTAATGCATGTTTTTCTACTAATTAAATGCAAATTTTAAAATCATGTGTGTGTTTGTGATGTCCGAAAATTCAAGAAAATGTGGGGAGGATTTTCTAAAATGCATGATAAAAATTCATTTTTCTAAAATTGTGTATGCATAAATATGATGGAATGCTCAATTAATTTCATATGCAAGAATAAAATCATAATTCATGAAAAATAATTTATTTCGAAATAATATCTCGAAATATGACCTAAGCACATAATTCACATAATTATCTAATTCACGTAAATACTAATCATGCAAGAATTATTAAAATTCTAATTTCACAAATATGCACATAGAGTTGGTAAAATAAAATAACATCATTTTACCGGAAAGGCGGGGTGTTACATTTTACACATCCCGAGGCCATATCGCGATATGGGCATCAGTATCGGGCGATATGGCAAAAACCCAAGCTCTCTGTTTCGTTTCTCCCCATATCGCGCGATATGGAAAAAATGCAAGCTCTCTGTTTCATTTCTCCCCATATCGCGATACAGGATGGCAATATCGCGATATGGTGACTGTCTGAACTTGAAACTCCGTGTTGACCCTTCAGGCCGAATTCGACAAAAATGCATTTCACAAAAGTTGTAGCCCTTGTAGTTGGCTTTATAACTCCACTTGAATCAGCTCAATCGGAGGTCATATGAGAGAGTTATGCGTCAAATACCGAACCCTTCCATAGTCCGCTAAAATGCAACTTTGCACTTGTTTGGTTTGATTCTCGGCTTCGCTTCCAAAATCGTTTCGAATCGGCAAAAATAGCTTCTCTTTACCTGTAATAGAAATAAAACAAGAAACGCATAATATGTACAAATAAAGCCGAAAACTCGGACGAACGAAGACCAAAACTCGAAGATTCGATAAGTAAAAGTTGTGCAAAATGAACACTTATCACGTGGTAAATGCTAGAATTTTACCATAACATTTGCTACGGCCATTTAGCGTAGCAAATTTTTGTCATGCTCAGGGGCGGACCCAAGGTATGCCTTAGGGGGCCCACGCCCCTGCATGAAATTCTTCTTTTTTACCTTTTTTTTATTATATTTTTAATAATTTGTGTTATTATATTTATCTATTAATATATACTCTTTAGCCCCCCAAATTTCAAACTTGGTACCACTTTAGCCCAAAAAAAATTCTAGCCCCCCATCCAATACCCCTGGGTCCGCCCCAGGGTACGCCTGTATATACTACAGGTCAAATTCATTGCATATGCATTGCAAAAGTCTTTTTAGTACGAATTTGATATCTTTTGCTACGATTAATGATCGTAGTAAAAAACCATTTTTTTACTAGTGTCGTTGTATACCCGTCAAATGTTTACAAGCTCAATGGAAAACAAAAACATAAATGATCATAAAAAGTAATTTATTTTATAGATTCTTGCAAAGGGAAATCCGTCCTTTGTACATACTAATAATTAGTCCATATAATGGACGTTTATTTCACATGAATGCATGCATGTATTAGATAATAGGTATTCTAATTCCATAGGGAATGTTGAATATTTCACATATTATATAAAGCCTTAATTCCTTGAATATCATCTGAATTCAACTTGATCTTAGCCTGTCCTGCTGAGACTGAAGGGTACATAATCGCAGCCTGTATGGAGCTATGCCCAAGCCCAAGAAGGTGTCCAATTTCATGTAGTGCCACAGTTTCTAGGTGGAAAGTATTTGCGACGGGGTCGACGGACCACCTCTCGTCCGCATCGTAATGAAGCCTCCCATTGGTTGGAGCGAATGCATGGGCTAGGGTGCCGCCCGGGCCGTCGAACGAGGCCCCATCTCCGTGGTTACCACGTAGAAACCCTATGGTCAGATCAGGGGTTTGACCGCTGGAAGCCCGTTTGAAAGTGAAGTGGGTGGCGTTGTCCCAGTTTTGAAAGGCCCGCTCTGCAGGGGCGACTGCGTTAGCGGGTACGTTGGACAAAAAGCCGTAGGTTAGGTTATATTTGGAAGGCGGCCATTTAGGGTTTCCTGAAAAGAAAGTGTAGTGGGATACTGTATGGATATGTCCATGCTGGTTGGTGCTCGGGCGCATCGTGTTTTCACCGTTGATGATGTCGGGGACCCCACATCGAGGGATGATCATTGTCGATACCGTTGAAGCGTCTAGTATGCCGGTGGGGTTAATATTGAAATTTTGCTGGTAGGTTTTGATGGCGGACTCAAGGGCATCGTCAAATAGGTTATTGACTTGGGTGTTATTTAGGTTATCGAGATAACCAAATTTCTGGAGGTAGTTTTTTATTCCACTGATCCCTAAGGCTCTGTTACCTTTGACGGAACCTTGTAGTGCTCTGATGAAATCGAATGGTGACAGTATTTCGTCAAGCCGTATCACCCTCAGGGCATAGCCAATAGGGGAAAGGCATATTAAGGAAATAAGAAAGATGGGGAAAAAATGTTGATCAACTGCCATAACTAAGTTAGCAATATCAAGAAACAAATCAAGAAAATTATGAAAGAAATTGGTTGTGAGATAATGTTATTCGTTAGTACATCTCTTTTTATAGACATTTAGTTTTGTATTGAAATTAAAGAGTATGAGTTACATAGATAGCCACCACTTGTGCCTGAACTCAACGGGCAGCCACCACAACCACCACTTGTATTTGCTTTTTAATATTACTATCAATAGGATGAAAGAAGGCATATATACCAGAAAATATTAATAAGTTGTAATTTTTATTCCAATAATTATATTTAATGCTTTTTTTTAGAAATAAAAAGCGGAATAAATTAATTCCCGAGTACGTATAATTTTTCTTACGTATCTAGACGGGTTTCTCTTGTATTGATTTCTTTGAACAAAAGAATCGGAGATGTGCTTACTAGGTTAGCTAGGTACGGTTTATTTGATATATGCTACACCTAGTAAAATATATCGAGTGATTGTTAATCGTTGATCTGCACATAACCATAGAGATTCATATGTATGTGTGCTTAGTATTAATATTAATCTTTATAGATGAAAGATATTGGAGATATTAATATTAAATGATACATTTCACTAACAGAGTCAGTGAAATGAAAAGGTCATGAGTTCGAATTCCACCGCCACCCATTTCAAATATCATGAGTTCGAATCCCACCGCCACCCATTTCAAATATTTGAAGTGCAAGACTTCAAATGTAATTCGCCTGCACAAATTATTAAATTAATTTTCCACCATGTATAACTAATCTTATCTACATCGGTTTCCCTTGTATTAATTGCTTTGAATATCAGAAATCAGAGGTACGGTATTATTCGCTAGATTAGATAAAGGTAGGCAACCCTAGAGAGAGATGAGGATGAAATTTGTAAACCAATCCTCAATACAATTAAGGGTGTCACTAGATTAGATAAAGGTCGGTAAACCGATTGAATCGAACTGAACTGAAAATTCGGTATGTATCAACTATCGAATAAAAAATTTGGTTCGGTAATCGGTAATTTTTTTTGGAATTCCGGTATTCAGTACGGTATACCGTATTGATTTTTTTGGAATTCCGGTATTCAGTACGGTATACCGTATTGATGCCCGTTGTACCGTACCGCAACAAATAATGAAATATTTGATAAATATTTATTTATTTTTCTTTCTTTCTTTTTAACATCTTTAAGGTGATAACAAATTGTAAAGCACTTTTCGATTGATAAAAGTTTTTTCATTATTTACAAATTAGCCTCGATTGATAATTACCTTTTGCTTTAGTGTAGATTATTGAAATTTTTTTGAGTGTCAAATTCAAGAATTAATTAGTTTAAATATGTTATTTTTATATTTTTTTAAATACTATATATTTTCGTTTTACCGTTATTGAACCGAAAAAATCAAATAATTCGGTACTGAATGGTTCGGTTTGTAAACAGTAACAAAATTTTGATGTACCGAAATTTCGATTTATTAAAATTCCGGTACAGTTCGGTACGATACTATTGAATGAACAACCCAAATATTTATTGCTTTATTTTAGGATTTTATATCTGCCAATTTTTCAAAATCAAGTGGATGGTATTAGAAAAAGTTGAAACCTAAGAAAAATAAAATATTTTTTAACAATTTAGTTTTACATAAAATATTAAATTAAATATTTTTAATTAAAGAAAACAAAGAAAAATAATAAATCGACCGAACAAGTACAATAAGAAATTCACGAATTGTGAGTAAGAACCAAGGGCGAGACCACCCTTGGAAAATGATAGACGCAAGCCCATCCTCAATCAAAAAACAATTCATTACATTATACCTATATATTTATTAAGTTTACCAATTTTTTATTATTTAGTGAACTTAAAATCCAAATTAATACAAAAAAAAGTCCTAAGTTTTTTTTAACATATCTTCTGATATTGTCAAAAAAAAAAATTTAGGGGCATTTCCCATTAACCTTCGAAAATTTAAGTACACTATGTAACAATATCTTATACTCAGCTACTATTGGAACAATCATTGTTGTTATTAATTTATTACTTACATTATTTTTTTAATGTATATCCAACCCTCCAATATTGAAATTCTGACTTCGCCACTTACAAAACTTTTGATACCGGAGATATATCATATATCTACATCAATCAATTACATTGCTCCAAAATGAACCTTTCACAACAATTGTTTTTTTTAATCATTAAAAAATACTAGTATTATATTATTATTTAAAAATAATGGATTTAGTACACGGGTTCATACTACATATTTCTAGTGTACTCTATCGATATATCATTTTCAAAATGTCATACAAAAGATCTGGGCTCCTAAAATTCATTCGTTAAGTTTTATACGTTTAAATAAAAGCTCAATGTAGAAACAAAATATAAAATTATCATAAAAAGTAATTTATTTTATTGATTCTTGCAAAGGGAAATCCGTCCTTTGCACATGCATGTATTGGATAATAGGTCTTCTAATTTTGAATATTTCACATGTTATATAAAGCTTTGATCCCTTGAATATCATCTGCATTCAACTTGATCTTGGCCGTTCCTGCGGAGACCGAAGGGTACATAATCGCAGCCTGTATGGAGCTATGCCCGAGCCCAAGAAGGTGTCCGATTTCATGCAGTGCCACGGTTTCCAAGTGAATAGTATTTGCGACGGGGTCGACGGACCACCTCTCGTCAGCATCGTAATGAAGCCTCCCATTGGTTGGGGCGAACGCATGGGCTAGGATCCCGCCCGGGCCGTCGAACGAGGACCCATCTCCGTGGTCCCCACGTTGAAACCCTATGATCAGATCAGCGGTTTGACCGCTGGAAGCCCGTTTGAAAGTAAAGTGGGTGGCGTTGTCCCAGTTCTGAAAGGCCCTCTCTGCGGGGGCCACTGCGTTAGCGGGTACATTAGACAAAAACCCGTATGTTAGGTTATATTTGGATGGCGGCCATTTAGGGTTTCCTGAAAAGAAAGTGTAGTGGGATACTGTATGGATATGTCCAAGCTGGTTGTTGCTCGAGCTTGATTCGTGATTTTCTGTGCCAGCAGGCTGCATCGTGTTTTCACCGTTGATGATGTCGGGGACCCCACATCGAGGGATGATCATTGTCGATACCGTTGCAGCGTCTAGTACGCCAGTGGGGTTAATATTGAAATTTTGCTGGTAAGTTTTGATGGCGGACTCAAGGGCATCATCAAATTCGTTATTGATTTGGGTGTTATTTAGGTTGTCGAGATAACCAAATTTCTGGAGATAGTTTTTTAGTACACTAATACCTAGGATTCGGTCACCCTTGACGGAACCTTGTAATAATTTGATAAAATCGAATGGTGACGGTATTACGTCACCCAGCTGTATCATGGCATGGCCAATAGGAGAAAGGCATAATAGGGAAACAAGAAATATGGGAAAAAAATGTTGAATTGCCATGGCTAAGTTAATAATATCAAGAAACAACTTAAGAAGATTATGAAAGAAATTGAGTTGTGAGATAATGATATTTAGTACATCTCTTTTTATAGACATTTAGTTTTGTATTGAAATTAATTAAAGAGGATGAGTTACATAGATAGCCACCATAACAACCACTTGTGATAGTCTGAACTCAATGGCCAGCCACCACAATTACCACTTGTATTGCTTTTTAATATTAGTATCTATAGGATGAAAGAAGATATACCAGAAAATATTAACAAGTTGTAAGTTTTATTCAAATAATTAATCGGCATTTTTTGAGAAATAAAAGTCGGAAAAAAATAATTTCCGATATATAATTTTTCTTAGGCTGCGGCTATATGCAAGACTAATTCCACTTGTGCAAGACCAAATTAAAATTTTCAATGTATAAATACTATAATACCCTTATTAAAAAAATTGAAAATTCCAAATGTGCAAGACAAAAAATTCAAAAACACAAAAAACCCTATCAAAAGACCACAAAACCACAAGACAAACTCTCATCTTCTTCATCTTCCAAAACCCACAAGACCTTTCTCCTTCCTCCTCCATAAACCCACAAAACCTAGATATTCAAAATCATCAAAAGTCAACAAATCTTACAAAGATGGCAAGTATGGAGTCAGAAGACATCAAAATAGAAGATTCTACGATGGAAGAACCCAAGAAGCTATGCATTTATCGATGTTTTAGCTAGAATATCGATTTTCCAAAAAAAATCCCTCGCAAACGAATTCGACATGTACAGGTCGAATTTTACTGGTAAAAATCGACATTTAGATGTCGATTTTGAGGTATAAAATTCGACATTTGAATTTGTACTATTAATTCGACATGTCAATGTCGATTTTTACCTATGCAATTCGACGCTCAAGTGTCGATTTGTAGCATAGTTTTTCGACACTTTGGTGTCGATTTTTACCAGTTTCAAATTTAATTTGTTTTTCCTCTTTTTTTTGGGCAGATTTAGGTCACTCGTGATTGTACGTGGCGGGGCTGGCGGCGGCGGCGATCGGCGGTGGAGCTTGAGCGGCGGAGAAGGTGGGCGTAGGTAGGGGTTGGGGGGGGGGGGGGCATTATTTGATTTGGTCTTGCATAAGAAAAAAAAAAACCAATTTAATTTATGGGCATATTTGTCATTCCATCTTAATAAAATAGAATCTTTTGGAATCTTTCTTTAATTTGGTCTTGCACAAGTGGAATGAGTATTGCATATAGCCGCAGCCTTTTTCTTATTTATCTAGGTGGGCTTCTCGATCTTGTATTGATTGCTTTGAACACCAGAATCGGAGGTATGGTTTCTAGGTTAGGTAAAGTCGAGGAAGATATATGCTTATATTGGATATTTGTTAACTGTAGATGAAATTAAATAATAATTCACTAAGCACATATATACATGTGGATATTTGTAGATCTACGATTAAGAGCAACTCCAGTGCTAAACATCAAAATTGGATTATCAAATACTCATTTGATAATTAAGATAATATTTTAATATTCATTTACAATTTTCTACTCCAACCATGGTTATCTAAATCAATAATCAATTGGAAGTTTTTTAGTGGTTTTATTTGTAATTGCCACGTGTCATTTTGTGATTGGATGTTTAGGTAGTTATTTTTTTGATAACTCAATTTTCGGGATGTATTTTTGCATTCAAAGAGGTAGAATATCAAAATACTTACCCATTTTGATACTCCCATTGGAGTGGAAAATTTTAATTTTGGAATATCAAAAAGGTGGTTTATGGATTTGATAATCCATTTGATACTCCCATTGGAGTTGCTCTTACAATCCCCCGATTAAATAACTGGGTGTAGCATAGAATTCCCGATAAGACGGTTGACCTTAAAGAGAGATGATGATTAAGTTTGTAAACGAATCATCAAATTAAATACCACCCTCTATATTAAATACCACCCTCTATTGCTCTAATTTAGGATTTTATAGCTGCCATTTTTTTCAAAATCAAGTCGACAGTAATAGAAAAAAAAATCATACCTAACTTTTCTTTTAAAATCCCTAAAAAAAAGAACTTCTCTTCTAAAATTCCCTAAAAGAAACTTTTCATTTAATATTCCCTTGTGATTTTTTTAAATAGCGAAAATTTGGCATGACAATTAAATTTAATAATTTACAGATGCACTAGGGAATCTATACAATAGTAGATAAGAATGCATACAAGAAGCCCACTTTTTATAAATATTAATATTTTGTTTTACAAGGGATGACTTAAACGTTCGAGCAAATGACCATGTTTCAATTGACTCAGGTTTGAATTATTTGCCAGCGGTCACTATATCAAGCTTGTGATATATGATTTTAGTCTGGTGTAGTTTACATATCTCTTATGATTTGTGAGTTATTATAGGAGAGTGTTTTATTCAGTGCACTTATATAGCTGGATTCATGGGCTTTGATATTATTTGTAATTAGACAATGCTATTTCCTTTTTAAATTAATTGTCGAAATAAATATATGCTTTTATCGGCCTAATTCCACTTTACACCCTTGAAATATGGCATTTTATTACCTTTGTAGCCATTGACACAACAAAATCATGGATATGCAACCAAAGTGCTATTAATTACTTTTGAAGGTGCAAAGTGGCAAAATACTATATTTCAAGGATGCAAAGATGCAAAGTGAAATTAAGTCACTTTTATCTTACAGTACACTGTACTGTATACACGAATGCCCACATGTATGATCATAGACGGGAAATAAGATGTTGCACCTGACTATTTACACTATGTGGGTTTGAACCAATGTTTTGAAAACCGGACCGGACCGGCCGGTTCGACCGGTTCAACCGCGAACCGGTGCCTTGTCCGGTCCGGTTAGCACTACAAACCCGAAAATCACAAAAAAACCGGTTCAATTGTTAAAAACCGGTTTTTTGACCGGTCCGACCGGAAACTGGCAAAAAAACGGTTTTTTTGCTGAACACACATTTTTAATTAATTCAAAAAGAAAACATCAAAACGACGTCGTTTTGTGCACAGAGAAAAAAAAGCAAAAAAGGGAAATTGAAACGTGAGAATTGTTTTCCCTATATCACAAGAAATTAATTGCAATTTAATTTATGTCCTAACTAATAGCCTTATACAACTAAACAACAGTAATTTTTAATCTAAAAAAAAAACGTAAGACTTTAGTCTTATTTTCTTTTACATGTATTTACTATTTACTTTAAATATTTGATTTTGATGTGAAAATTATTTTAAATGTTTGTTTTGGAAGTAAGACTTGAGTGTTTTATTTATTTATTTATTTATTATTTTTATATATCAGTAAGATGTAAGATTTTAAATTAAATCTTAACTTTTGATTTATAAGATGACTATGATTTATGTTGCATATTATCTTATGGCTTGTTTGTAGTGCTAATTGTAGTTTTACTCATACAAATATTTGATATTGGTGATAAATAGGCTATGTTTACGTAACTTTTTGCATAAAGAATACCATATAAATTAAATAAAAA